GCCTCTCCTTTTAGTTGGTCTACTCTAGTTCAGACCCAGGAGTTACCTATTAAATATAATCTAATAACACATTTTCCTGTGCTACCCAACAAATCATGTTCCATATTCTTGTGGGTTTGAACATATCTTCTTGCGAACTCTGGGTCCTTTCTAAATTTATTTGGATGGGGGTGTTGGGGTACTCCATGAGAAGAAGAACTGAAAGACAATCTTGCAACTAGCATGGAGCTTATTCCTCAGTTTTCAAGCACAGTGGAATGTTGACTGTGTTCCAGGCTAAAACAGATAATGCACAGTATTAGAGATACCCAACGTTGTCCCATGTGAAGTATGCAGAACTTTCCTCAAAGCTTTCTGCAGTCTTGCAGAATATACAGTTTCCTGGCAGATATTGCTATGGAATATATTCTTTTAACGTTTGAAAAATGTGGTGGTATTGCAACTTTTCTAATAACTAGTAATACAGTCAAATATTAAATGCCATTTCAGGTTGATTGTCAAATGAAATCAAATATCACATGACCAATATGAAATATTAAAACACTGTCAAATATAGATACAACACAGATTTTTCCTAACACATTTAAGCCTCCATTAGCACCTTGAGAATGTCTGACACCACATTTGTGAAAAAGTTTAAAAATAACATTTGGGATGCACTTCATTTCAGCTGTAAAACAAAATGTTTTTAAGCATGTGCAGATGATCCTTTTTTCACTGTCCAGTAACTGTAACCAGGTTTCAAATCTGAGCTATAAAGAGCAAGCTAACAGATTGAGTACTGGGGCTTCTAGGCAAATCTTGATCCTAGAACATCACAATGGAAAAACAGATTATGCATGTGTTGTGATAAGTATTATTTGAATGATGAATCAACATGAACACAGGCTCTCATGGACAATTGTGCAGGATACAACAATATAAGTTGTATGTCACATGGACAAGGTGAGGATTTTCCTATCCATGCTCCCTGTTCCTGCACATTCTCTACCACTTTCTTTCACTTCGCATTACAAGGGATAGTCTTCCAATAATAGAGAATGTATGCAAGTAAACAGCAGCAGCTAGATAAATGCAATTTTTAAAATCACCTTGTGTGTTCTCCATTTAAAGACTTATATATTGCTCTAGAAATGTTCAAAATCTAGACAGGGGCCATGTGTATTTCCCCCAGAAATGTGCAAACTATCTGTGATCAGCTGTGGCTTCAAGTAGGCATTGGTTCTTGTAAGAGGGCAATGCATGAATTATTTTTGGACCATGTAAATTTGTACATATTCTCTATGCTCTGATGTGAATGCACATGGCAATACTGATTCCTCTTTCAGTCTATCCTTCAGTCAGTGGGACTCTGGTGGTCTGACCAGAGCTAGCACTCCTGGTCTAAATAGCTGTCAGATGGAGAAAAGTAAAATAAAACTGAATTTTGCTTCTACAGGACCTTTTAACTTACAGCATTTCAAAGGCAATTCCATCCCTCTTTACTCAACATTCCTTGGAAATGCACACCAACAGAAATACATACAAAAAATTTCTAGTGTTTAATGCCAACCCTCTGAAATTAGTGAAATCACAATCTCTGACAGTTTATAAACACGTGTGTGAGAGAGCATGTGTTTGTGTTCACATCTGTCTGTCATCTTATCTTTATTCTAACAGGACTGAATTGGGGAGGGAAAGGCTTTTCAATGTATTACAGTCCAAATGTAGATATTGTATCTTACAAGTCTGAACGATGTAGATGTAACACCTGTATTCATACACATGCATGCAAGTAAGGCAAGAAGGACTGCCTTGAATTCAATCAGGAATTTTTCTTTCCCAACCGTCTCCTCTTCCTTCCGTGTGTAAAGAACTGCCAAGGAATCCTAAGTCATTCTCAACTCCAGCCGCCTGTCTTCGACAAGAAAGAAAGAAAGAAAGAAAGAAAGAAAGAAAGAAAGAAAGAAAGAAAGAAAGAAAGAAAGAAAGGGGGCAGGGTACGAGGAGTACGAGGACAGCACGTGGCGCCACCTCAGGAGATGCGCCATATCTTCTCCTGGAGCCATTAAGGGAGGGGGGGAGGGCAATTAGTCTCTTGAGGGGAAAACTGAAGAAACTTGTGACACCTTGAAGACTGAAAAGCGGATGTCTTTAGGTGCATCTGGAAACGTGGTCTACTGGAGGAAAGCTTACTCCCAGTAAAACTTGTTTCGGTTCAAGTGCCACCGACTATTGTGACTAGAGTGGAAGAGTTTGGTTGATCCTCATTGAGGGCGAAGGAGACTTTTTATTCGCCTCGCGCCCCGCGCCCGCCAAACGACTCTCGGGCACCACATATGAGGGAAAGGCAGACCCCGCCACCCAAGAAGGAAGAGCCCCGCTTTGCTAGATCCCGCTTCACGGTTTCTTGCGCGGAAGGGGGCGGGCGGCGGCGGGGGAGGCTGGTAAACAAATTCTGACGAGTTCGTTGACGGGATGGGGAACTTCGCTTCCTTTGGGGGAACCCGAACAGTTAGGGGGCCGACGCCCGTGTCCTTGGCTGGCGGCCGCTTAGGCGACCACCAAGGCGGTAGAGAAAGCGGAGCGAAGCTAGGGGTACGTTTACACCAGCGCCCTGGGCGGTGGAGTGAATTCGACGTACAGAAACTTCGAGCAGGGCCGGTTCCTGAAGGAAGGAAGGAAGGAAGGAAGGAAGGAAGGAAGGAAGGAAAAGAAAGAAAGAAAGAAAGAAAGAAAGAAAGAAAGAAAGAAAGAAAGAAAGAAAGAAAGAAAGAAAGAAAGAAAGAAAGAAAGAAAGAAAGAAAGAAA